ATAATTTGACGATCGTTTCCCCTTTTTCCATCGATCGCCTAATCGTGCAATTAATACCCAAGAAACTATTCTTCTTGGAATTGTTCCCGCGCGTCTCTTTCTTTTATTTCGTTTCTCTGGTTCTCTGGCCTGGCACAAATAATTATCAAGTAATCCCGCCAATGACCTGACTCGAAGCCTGAAATCGGCCGGACCCGAGTTGTCGTTTTAACGAACTATAATGGAAAGCCCGGAAAGGACGGTCGAGGCTGGTGTTGATGGCCGATCGATGACGGCTCGCGATTCGATTCCCTTTTCTTCACGGAATACACGAAACGTACATAATACAGAGAACGAGGAGGAGAGAATCGGTACGACTTCGGATCGAAATCGATCTTATCACGACTCGACAACCTAATTCTGGCAAGCAGCGATATCTTTCTTCCCGTGGATATTTTTTTTTTTTTTTTTTTTGTTGGGAATTTATAAAATTCACACTGCTCGTTATCTGAACCTTACGATTATCCTGAATCAACTGGAGGAAACGCTGGCAAATACTGATTGCGGACCATAACGAGTGACCAAACCGTATATACAATAATAATTCGTTAGAACTCGAAGTTCGACAAATTTTGGAAATGAACGCTGCCGAATTCCCCCGAAATTTTCATCTGCAACGTCACCCGAGTAACTCAGAGTTAGCTCCTAGTGTCTCTTTTCGCGTTCTTTATCGATATTTGCCTTCCTTTGCCTCAGCTCACGGCCACGGAGTCGGGTCAAAACGAGCCGGTAGCGGCGTCCAAGGGTTAACCAGCGCCGGGAATGATCGCCAGTCCGCAATAAGGAACCGCATTGTCGAAGGCGAAAGTTACGTAACGAGTTGTTTCAGGGACTTTAGCCTAGCCTAGTTCCGCGGATAGTACTTCCACCCCCTTGTAACATCGATCTGGCTGACGGCTTTGATGATCGTGTCGCACCAACTCCTTCCTCCTCCCCTCTTCTCTATCCCTGTCTCTCGCTTTTCTGTCTCTCGTGCCACCGACGTGCTCTTTGACACTTCGTGATGGCTTTTGCGTGTTATTTATCGAACAGGCCGTTCGTATTTTCGACGATTCGTATCATTGGATCGGTTTTACATTACGCGATTAAAGGCGTGTGATTGATCGGAAGACGTCGAAGGATCGGTTGGATAAACAGTGATTAGCGATAGTCGTGCAACAGGGGTGAGAAGAAGGGTAGAGGAAGTGAAAGATTCAAGGAAACACTAGGCTCTGATTATGCGGATCTTGAAATATGGGTTTCAATTCTCGCGCGTGCGATGGGGATCGTTGGCACGGATAACGTTTTACTTTTTGCCACGCACGTCGAAAATTTTTTGTCCCAAAATTGCAGTATTTTCTCAGTTTATTCTCAGTTAGGTATGTTTAAGTATAACCCAGGCAAAGCAAGTAATAAATTTATTACTTCCGAATAATTTCTATCCAGTGATATCATGCCGACGAGTTCAAAAAGAAAGCGAATTACTGTATACGGTTTGGTCACTCGTTATGGTCCACAATCAGTTGCCAGCTCAAGTGTTTTAAGGAAGCCTTAACCTCTTGCGCTGGTACGACGTGCCACGCGCGTTGAGAATTTTTTGTTCTAAAATTGCAATATTTCGTCAGTTTTAAGTATATTATAGTATATTATAGTTGTAAGTATATTTAAGTATAACTCAGGCAAAGCAAATGATAAATTTATTCTGAATAATTTCTATCCAGTGATATCGTACCGAAAGAAAAAAAAAAGCGACGAATTATTATATACGATTTGGTCATTCGTTATGGTCCGCAATCAAGTTGCCAACTCAAGCCTTAACGTCTTTCGCTGGAACGACGTGCCACAGACGTCGAGAATTTTTTGTTCCAAAGTTGCAATATTTCCTCAGTTTTAAGTATATTACAGTATATATGTAGTATATTATAGTTTTAAGTATATTTAAGTATAACCCAGGCAAAAAAGATAAATCTATTACTTCTCAATAATTTCTATTCAGTGATATCGTACCGACGAGTTCAAAAGAAACAGAAAGCGACGAATTATTGTATACGGTTTGGTCACTCGTTATGGTCCGCAATCAGTTGCCAGCTCAAGTGGTTAAGGAAGCCTTAACCTCTTGCGCTGGTACGACGTGTCACGCGCGTTGAGAATTTTTTGTTCTAAAATTGCAATATTTCGTCAGTTTTAAGTATATTATAGTATATTATAGCTGTAAGTATATTTAAGTATAACTCAGGCAAAGCAAATGATAAATTTATTACATCTGAATAATTTCTATCCAGTGATATCGTACCGACGAGTTCAAAAGAAACAGAAAGCGACGAATTATTGTATACGGTTTGGTCACTCGTTATGGTCCGCAATCAGTTGCCAGCGCAAGTGGTTAAAAAGCAACCCTATTCCGGTTTGTCGGGCACACTGGCCACGAAAGAGAGTCACAGACTCGACGGTTGTTCGTGGAAATCGATAACACGTGGTGACTGGCGTCTCTAGAGGGGGAAGAAGAAAAAAACGAATGAAGAACGTTTGTTACGTTGCAAGCTGAAGTCGAAGAAGAATTCTGCAGATTTCTTTCTTCTGGGAAAATTGGGGATACCCTCTCTGGGAAGGTGGAATTTCTGGCTTGTTACGTAACTCGCAGGAAACGATCCAAGCGTCCACGAAGCTCTCGAAAGCTTCAACTCTCGAGGACACTTGCCACTCGCCTCTATTTCAACCTCCGAACTAAGCCGCACTAACTGGGATCTCCCTTCTTCCGCTTTATTATACTTTGCCCGATGGTTTTTGAATTTAAGTGGTTAGGATTCGCGAATGTTCGGGAGCGTTCCGGTGAAACTCAGAATGCCAGGCTCCCAAGTGGAACGCGCGAACGTTCTCCGCGTTCGACTCGATTAGATCTCGTAACGTCGAGGGAGATTTCATAATTTCGATAAAAATTTGCTCACCTCGTTGTAATATTCTGTATTCTATGCGTTGAAGCTAAAATTCACTGGCGGGAGATACAACCCTCCGATTAATAACCTAGCGCAATACCGACGCTAAAATTCTAGGCTTCCAACTAAAATTTCCCCTCCACTTAATTGCAATTAAAACTCGCGGACTTTCGTGATTGTAGTTGCGAGGTAAAAATACGAAAAAATTCACTAGTTCCTATGAAAATTTTCGGAAAATGCAAAATTCCTCGGATTTTGTCAGAAAAAGGAAACCTCTGAACTCTATATCGATCTAAATGCAGATTCTGTCGTCGGCAGCAATCGGAAATATCAAAGTCACAGTACGTGGTTTGTTTGTTGTTCGAAACGTATTGTAACGAAGTTAAAGAAGCCCCGAGTTAAAGAAAAATTCGAAGCAAGGGATTCGGTGAAAAAAAAAGCAGAAAAAAAAAATGGCGGAAGTGGTGGTGTGCAACGGGCATAAAAGAAGAAAGCTGGAGGGCCAGACATTGTTGAGGGTTCATCCGATCGTTGATAATCGAGCAACGTTCCGCGTCAAAGGGAACGTCCAGAGTCACGGGACACTCGTCACTGTCACACGAGCTGGCCACAGAGGTGTGAACTTGAAACGATCCTGGAAAACTGGCCAGTCAACCTTGACACGGTTGCCCGGTCGCGATTCCTCCTCGCAAATTCAATTTACGTCGCCACGCTGATTAGACAGATCGTCGCTATTCTTTCGTTAATATCTTCTTTTTGCTGGTTTTCAACTTTTCATTTTAGCTTACTGTCATTACATTTTTATTTCTTTCTCGATCTTCAGCCTCTTTTCATTTTATTTGCGAATCAATAAAGAAACTGTTAGATTCATGATATCATTAGACTTGACTGTTGAAAATTTACTGTCATTAAATTTTTATTTTTTCTCGATCTTCAGCCAGTCTTCATTTTATTTGCGATCAATAAAGAAACTGTTAGATTTACGATATCATTAGACTTGATTGTCGAAAATTTTCAATTTTCTTCTTTTTTAATTTTTCTATTTATTTATTTTTTTATTTTAATTTACTGTCATTGCATTTATTTTTTCTTAATTATTCAGCCTCTCTTCATTTTATTTGCGATCAATAACGAAACTGTTAGATTCATGACATCGTTAGACTTGACTGTTGAAAATTTTCAATCTTCTTTTACAATTTTTATTTCAATTTACTGTTACTACATTTTCATTTCTTTATCGATATTCAGCCTCGTTTCATTTTATTTGCGATCAATAACGAAACTGTTGGTGACATTGACAGACCTGATTGTTGAAAATTTATTGAACAAACGATTATGTTCACGCGAATGACGAAATACGGAAACGCATTTAGCTGTCAAAGAAAATATCAAACAACGACAGTCATCGAATTACTGTTTCAGTGAATTAAAATTAACTTCAATTCTGTGATATCCAATAACAATTAAAACATCAATATACATCAAGTTCTTTTTTCTTTTTTTCCTTATTTCCCAAATTTCCGAGCTGTGTCTCTGATTTCGATGATTATAATACACTACGTTCTTTAGTTTCAAGTTACAAATTGAAGTGCCCGCGACGCGACAAATTATTGCTTGGCCCTTGATTCTTTTGAAAATTCGAACAACTTCATTCCCTTCGTTACCATCGCGTAAACGGCACGAGCGTAACAATGTACATGCAAAAAAAGAAAACAAAAAAAAAAAAACCGTGTATCGCATGCACGAACGCCAAGACGTAATTACTAATTACCATTGATCGCCGTGATAAGAAGTGTTCGTTCGACTAATTGGTCGTCTGGTCGACACGAAAATAACGATTAAACGCGTGAGTCATTAAATACCTCATCCCACACAAGCGAAACGACGTGTAACACACGTGTGTAGTCGTTACGCGTCTCTATCCGCGTCTGTGATATCCACACGAATTTGATTCGCAGGAAATGAATCATGTTTCGTGGCCCCTTTCCTCACTCGCTGCCACGCGTAATACGCTCGCTAACCCAGCAGTCTCTCTCTGTCTCTCGTTACTGTGTTGTTTCCCAACTGTGATGTTTCTTTCGTATTACGAGTAAAGCGTAATCGCGTGGACACGACGAATTTTTCTCCCATCGCGAATTCACCGGGGAAAAGAGAAAATCGCGCGCCTGTGGATCTAGATAATTAATTCCTCCCTCCGGTATAACTGAAATTTTCTTGCGGAAGAGACAACAGTTTATTAATTGATCGTGAGTAGTATAAGTCAGTCGTTAACTAACAATAAGTTACAGCCTTGCTTCAACTTTTGTTTCAACGGGAGTATTCGTCCATTTGATGACTTTCATAAATTTTTCTTTTCTTTTTTCAACACGTCGACTCTGCCACGCGAAATTTTCACAGTTCGTTTATGAAAATACGTCTACAAAACATTTAATTTTCATAAGATATTACAATGAAATAAAATACAAGCTCTGACACTAATAAAATTAGTACGTGTCTTATGGAAATTAAATATTTTAAATAAAATATTTAATTATATATTAAATTAAATATTATTTATTATTAATTATTTATTATTATTTATTATTATTAAATATTATATATTGTATTTAATTATATATTAAATTAAATATTATTGGATTAAATATTGTATCATAGATGAAAATAGCGGAAATTTCGCGTGACAATAATGATAATAAATAAGTAAAAGTTAACAATTTTTCATCAATACTATCTAGTTATTTATGTTTGTTAAAATTCATAGTTAATAACAATAATTAATATTCATCTCGTTTCAATTATTCTAAAATATCTAAAAATGGAGGAAATCGTCAGTAATGGATATCGTAGCAATCAACACGTTGTAATTTCTTCTGCGATTTATTTAGTTTCTTTCTTGCCGTGACAATTTTCTAATTTTTCAACATTTTTCTACAGTATTGGATAATTTTTTTTCATGGTTTTATTTTGCCGACAATGGAGACAAATTTAAAGATTATATCTCATCGTTGTAGATGATGATAGTAACTCGAGGTGAAGTAAAATGGAGAAAGAACATCGTACATCAAGTTTTCAAAAAGGCCTTCAATCTTTAAATCCATCGTCGAAAAAAAAAATTCATCCGTCACGAAAGGAATCTTTCAATGTTTTTACGTACTATGAACAATTTGTACAATTTATCTTCGCTGTTACGTGACATGACAGCATTTTAGAGCAAAATGAACGACGCGCTTCAAAAGTAGAGGCTTCAAGCTTTGTAAGGGTTTACTGTCTCAGGTTTTAGATTAGGTTTAAGATTAAGTTTATTGTCTCAGGTTTTAGGTTAGGTTTAAGGTTCATTTTATTGTCTCAGGTTTTAGGTTAGGTTTAAGGTTCAGTTTATTGTCTCAGGTTTTAGATTAGGTTCAAGATTAAGTTTATTGTCTCAGGTTTTAGGTTAGGTTTAAAATTTAGTTTGTTGTTTCAGGTTTTAGGTTAGGTTTAAGGTTCAGTTTATTGTCTCAGGTTAAGTTTAAAGTTAAATTTATTGTCTCAAGTTTTAGATTAGGTTTATGATTAAGTTTGTTGTCTCAGGTTTTAGGTGAGGTTTAAAGTTCAGTTTGTTGTCTCAGTTTTTAGGTTAGGTTTTAGGTTCAGTTTGTTGTCTCAGGTCTTAAGTTAGGTATAAGGTTATTGTCTCAGGTTTTAGATTAGGTTTAAGATTAAGTTTATTGTCTCAGGTTTTAGACTAGGTTTAAGGTACAGCTTATTGTCTCAGGTTAAGTTTAAAGTTAAATTTATTGTCTCAGGTTTTAGATTAGGTTTAAGATTAAGTTTGTTGTCACAGGTTTTAGGCTAGGTTTAAGGTTCAGTTTGTTGTCTCAGTTTTTAGGTTAGGTTTAAGGTTAAGTTTATTGTCTCAGGTTTAAGGTCAGTTAGTTCAAAACAGAAGACGAATTATTGTATACGGCTTCGGTCACTCGTTACGGTCCGCAATTAGTTACTAGCGCAAGAGGTTAACGATAATGGAATAACAGGAATAGAGACTGACTCGCTGATTTTTCCAGATAAAGGACCGTGGGCCAGATATTTCAAAACATTAACGAAAGGAATCATTTCAGCTTCCAAAGGAAGGGAACAATGAGAGAAAGGGAGAAAGAGAGAGAGAGAGAGAGACAGAAAGAAGATAGCTGCAGACAGATAACCACTTCACAACTCGAATGCGACCGGGGGGCAAGAGGGGGGGATGTGCTCGACGGTAGGAAGAGTAGGGGAGTAGGGGAAAAAAGGAAGAATAAACGTCGTAAGCCTTTCGATAGGTACGACTCGTCTGTTGTTGCGGATCGATACTTCAAACTGGTCCAGCGTATCTCGAAGAGGAATAAGGGAAACTGTCGCGCGACTCTGTTACCATTTTACTTGTCCATTTTACTGTCGCGCGACTTTGTGCCGTTTCATTCCTGTTTTAATTCAGTAAAAAGAGAGAGAGAGAGAAAGAAAGAAAGAGAGAGAGAGAGAGAGAGAGAGAGAGAGAGAGAGAGAGAGAGAGAGAGAGAGTTGGTTGGAAATTTTACCTTCTTCTTTTTTCAGCCATTCGCGAGAAGAAGAGAATGAATTACAAGGTTCTAAAGGAAACAATGCTTGTATACAATTTATGATGGTTGATCGACGATGTTGTTACTCGAGCAACGAATTCATCGACATTGAGATATCTCTGAATAATCACAAAGGAATGTATTTACGAATGACTTGAATTCTTTACAGATTGAGAGATAAAGGAAGGCTGGCTGTGCGGAAGCAATCGTCATCGTGGTTTGATAATTATTAGATTGTGATTGTGTGATTCTAATGTAATAAATTGACTGATTAAATTAATGTAAATTAATCGATCAAATTAATGCAAATTAATCGATCAAATTAATGCAAATTTGGGGGGGGGCAAGAAAGAGGGATAAACTTTCAACAGACGGAACGAAGAAATTGACATTGAACAATTATGGGATACTTCTTTTTACAAGGGTTGTTGCAACCAGTATCACTTGTCTTTCTCTAAGGTGATACACTTTTTTATACTCGAAGAGGTGGAAAAATTCTCAGGGCGTCTCGCTTGCTTTAATCTAACGAAACGTCCCTCGTGTTTCCACGTCGAGCGACGTTTGTCTGACAATGAGCCTCGGTGGCATCGGCGTCTCGGGGCAAATCTTCGAACGAGCATCCCCCAAATGTGTCGTCGCCTTTGCTACAGGCACCTTGTTACTCGAATCTTGGCGCGATTTTTTTTTCCCCGCGTCGCCGACAGGAAAACTGGAGGCTCGCGTCTCACTCTCGAGGCGCTGACTACCCTGAAGGAACATCGTCTCGCCTTTTTCTTCTTCGCGGAAAGAGCCCCTCCCTGGGGATAACGCCGCCACGTTCGGCTTGTAAATCTCCGTTAAGCTCGAACGAGATCTCGTTTCGTCGCTCACTCTTCATTTCTTCATTCGTCGGTGAAGACGAATCAACGTGTTCAACCATCATGCGATATCCGGGATATTTTCAAACACATTTACAAGATCGTCAAACATCGCCGATTTTTCGAGAAATTTGTTCGCGTTGAATATGTACAGGGTGGTCATTGAAAGACCGAATGATACGAAACAAAAATAACTTTTGCAAACGCGTGTGTTTGTTTTTCAATTTTTTATTATTTTATTTGGAAATATGATTAATGGATCTTTTTTTTTTTTTGAAAAACAACATCCCTCAAATGACCATCATTTGGAAAGTGAACAAATCATGACTTTTTTAAGTATATTCTCCGGTTTTTCAGTATATTCTACCCTGTATATTTTAAATTTGTTAGTCGCGATTAGCGGAGCGACCAACTTTCGATATTTCTAAGCACTCGAAAGTACTGTTACGAAATTGCAACAGTACAGTTCAAATATTACCGATTTTTCGAACAAAATTTGTTTGTGTTCGCCAAAATTTGTACGTTCAAAAATGAATATATATTCAAAATTTGTTATATGTCATTTATTCAATTAACTCGGAACGATCAATTTTCGATAATTGTAAACACTCGAAAGTACTGTTACGAAATTGCAACAGTACAGTTCAAATATTACCGATTTTTCCAAAAATGTGTTTGTGTTTGTCAAAATCTATACGTTCAAAAATGAATATATATTCAAAATTTGTTATATGTCACTTATTCAATTAACTCAGAACGATCAACTTTCGATAATTGTAAGCACTGTTACGAAATTGCAACAGTTCAAATATTACCGATTTTTCGAAAAATGTGTTTGTGTTTGTCAAAATCTATACGTTCAAAAATGAATATATATTCAAAATTTGTTATATGTCACTTATTCAATTAACTCAGAACGATCAACTTTCGATAATTGTAAGCACTGTTACGAAATTGCAATAGTTCAAATATTACCGATTTTTCGAAAAATTTGTACGTTCAGAAATGAATATATATAAAATAAATATATATATAAAAATATAAATATATATATATTTAAAAAAAAATATATATATATATATATATTCTAAATTTGTTACTCAGAATTAGCGGAGCGACCAACTTTCCATCATTTTAACCACTCGAAAGCTTACTGACCGATTAAGAAATTCACGCGGGAGTAAGGAGATCGATGGAAAGCCGACGGAGCATTTTCTGCTTTGTTCGAGCTCGCAACCATCCCCCTCTCCGCCCCTGGAAGCTGGGAGCTGTTAATCTCGCCAGTTTACAATAGGTCAGCGCGTTTGGTTCATCGATCTCCGGGCGTCGTGTTTCGCGGTACACGTCGAACAATCGGCCGCGAATCGCCCAAATCGGGGAAAATGGGTCAAGTCCTAATTGGATGGACGCCGGAAGGACAAAAGGAGATGAGGACACAGCGTGTCTGGGGTGATGTATCGCTCGATATCCCCTCGGCGGGAATGGAGCAAATGGCCCTCGTTCAAAGAGATATGGAAACATCGTCATTGCTGAATTAAACAATGGATTTTGACATTTTCAAAGGTTCCCTTCTTAATACAAAAATCACTTGTTTCAGTCAAAATAATTCCGTAATTTTTTAATATTTATTTAACATTTATTGTTATTTATTAATATTTATTAATATATAATTATTTAAATAAATAATATAATATATAATATATTTATTAATATTTAATATTTAATATTTATAAAGAAATAATTTGATTAATTAAATAAATTTTTTATTTTATTTTATTTTCAAAAAATAAGTATTTTATTTTACTCTATTTTCAAAAAATAAGTATTTTATTTTATTTTATTTTCAAAAAATGAGTATTTTATTTTATTTTATTTTCAAAAAATAAGTATTTTATTTTATTCTATTTTCAAAAAATAAGTATTTCATTTTATTTTATTTTCAAAAAATAAGCATTTTATTTTATTTTATTTTTTATTTTATTTTATTTATTTTTAATTAATCAATTAATTGTTTAAAACGTAATGAAGAAAGATCGTGTCCGAACTTGAGCTTGAATTTATAAATTAGTTTCGTTCTTACATTTCGATGTTTTATTAAAAAAAGAGAAATCGGTGGGAAGAAACTCTACATATACATACACACAGTGGTCTTAAATTTTTTTTTACGGCCATATTACATTACATGTCGTGTCGGTATATTTTTCTGTATTTCGGAGCGACTCGATTAAAAAGTTACAGCGCAAAGTAAACAGGGAACGAAGAGAAGATTTCCTTCCCTGAGAAATCAGGAAGAAGCAGAAGTTCGATTTGAAAGAGGACCGTAAAGCGTGACGAGAGAGACAGAGACAGAGAGAAACAGAGAGAGGAATAGAAAATTGTCGGTGAATTGGGCGGATACGGTCGCCAGAGAATTGATTGAGGGAAGGGGGGGGGGGGGAACACAGGGGAAAGGAAAAAAGGGGGAAAAAAGGAAGAAACACAGAGAAGTACCGTGCCAAGTCAATACTTCGTTCCCGATAACGTCACTCGATTACCGATTAAAAGGAGATTTCGATATCAAGCCGTCTCGCATCTGGCTAAATAATCAATCGTCCAACAACCGCCGGGCTTTTACCATTTTTACCATTTTTATTTTCTTCCCTTTTCTTTTCTCTCTCTCTCTCTCTCTCTCTCTCTCTCTCTCTCTCTCTCTCTTTTGAGGCGATCAACTCTTTGCCGCTCTCTGCCTGCCAATTTGCTTCAGCGTTCCTCTATCAAGTGGATTACTTTTTAAAATAATATCCACATTTCTCCCGTCTCTCGCGTTTTTTCGTTGCTACGTGCCGAGAGAAATATTTTTCGGGCAATTCTCTTGCGCGCAATTACGTACGATTTTGACGTATATACTGGCAGAGTTTGACAACACTCGTGCTGTGTGTTTTGATTGATATTTTTAGAAATGAAAAGCAGAAAATCGGAAAGGCACCGATCTTTTCCGAAGAGAAGGAAATATCGATGGCAATTGTTTAAACCTGAATTGAGTTTAAACGTAATTAAAGAAATCGAAGAATAGAAATGGAATTGAATTCAAACGTAATTAAGAAAAATAGAATTCAAATTGCTTCTTATACGTGTTATTATAATTATAATCATTACTCTATATTATATTATAATATTACTCTTCTTTGTTATTGTATTATAATTATTAGTCTTCTCTGAATATTTTATACATACTTTTGTGCATAATATTACTTTTCTATTCTATTACTATCACTTTAACGAAGGAAATTCGAAGTAGAGGAATTAATTAATCTCTTGCCACTCACGTCGAAGATTTTTTGTCCCAAAAATTGCAGTATTTTCTCAGTTCTTTACTTAGTATACTTTAGTATAATAGTATACTTTAGTATAATAGTATAACTTTAGTATAATAGTATAACTTTAGTATAATAGTATACTTTAGTATAATAGTATAACTAGAGTATAATAGTATAACTAGAGTATAATAGTATACTTTAGTATAATAGTATAACTTTAGTATAGTAGTAGTTTAATTTTTTTATAACTTTAGCATAGTAATAGTTTAGTATAACTGAGTATACTTTAGTATAATAGTATACTTTAGTATAATAGTATAACTTTAGTATAATAGTATACTTCAGTATAAGTATACTTTAGTATAATAGTATAACTTTAGTATAGTAGTAGTTTAGTTTTTTTATAACTTTAGCATAGTAATAGTTTAGTATAACTGAGTATACTTTAGTATAATAGTATAACTTTAGTATAATAGTATACTTTAGTATAATAGTATAACTGAGAAGTATAACCAATAAAACAAACATTAAATTTATTCAATAATTTCTTAATAATTTCCATCCAGTAATGTCACGCCGACGAGTTCAAAAAGAAAGCGACGAATTTCTCGTATACGGTTTGTTATCGTCACTCGTTATGGTCCGCAATCAGTTGCCAGCCGCCAAGTGGTTAAAAATGAAACGGAGCGAGATACAGATGAAATGAAAATGCTATTCGAAAACAAAGCAGTGAATTTCCTTTGGTGTCAGTTGAAAAGTTGATTTGAAGGAAGATTAATAAAATTATACGAGATATAATAATATAATATAACAATAAGATATAATAATATAACATGATAATATAATAATAAGATCAACGGAGGATTTAAATTAACGTTTCTACCGTGAGACAGAGCCATTGCTGTTGTCTCGATTCGTTTTTAAATACGTGCAACGCCGAAGCACGAACGAAAGGACGAAACAAATATTTTATTTACAATCCCTTTGAACTGTGATTAATTACGTTTAAACGTAAGATACGATTACGAGCGTAATAAAACAATTATTTCTAACGTAGTTAGTCGAAGAGCAAAGCACGCTACCAGG